ATAACAAAAATACTGCAGATTTTTGAGCCATGAAATATAACGATGAGTTAAGAAATTATTGCATGTGCAGAAAACTCATGTAAAAATAATAGAAGATGAGGCAGGTAAAGTTATACATCATAACTTTGGGACAGAAAGACTGCCTAAGGGTTGTTCTTTGCTCTTAGCTGTTAAAATGTACTCCCTTAAACTTGAAACTTTTATTGTACCTTGAATGTTGAGTTTGAGACTGCTCTTCCCCCAGCTGATATTTCATTTCTCAAAATGAAAGCGTGTCATGTTAGAGTTAAGTTTGTACAGAAAAGTGAAGGAAGAGTTGGAAAGAAGTGGGCCTGAGCAGAAGGGAGGAGTGGGTGGAGGGTTTTAGGTTTTGTGTTTATTTCTCACTGTCAAAGTCTATTTTAATTGGCAATAAATTAATATTCCCCAAGTCAAGTCTGTTTTGTCTGTGTCGATACCTCGTAAATAATGGTCTTGTCTTTATCTTGTCCCCTAAGCTTTTCTGTATTGTGTTCTTCCCCTGTCCTTTTGAGGAGAAGTGCAACAGTGAATGAGTGGGCATCTGGTAGACAGCAAAGGTCAAGCCACCCGACTTATGAAGCTTTGAAATACCAGCTGAACATTATAGGTTATCATGGGAAAGTCAGAAGCATCAGTGGCTTTGTCTTGCCAATGTGCAACTCTTCAGTGCGACTAAGTAAGCCTGTAACTTTCATAAGTGACAGCAGTAACAAGCATCATCTGTCTTGCCTCTCTATATTGGTTGTGTTCATGAAATGGATCAAGAGGAGGGAGGAAGGAATGGTTGTCAGTCCATGCAGGAAGTGTGAGGTCTGAGTTTTCTGGGTGGTCTGAAGCCTGAGCTCACTGCTTTCTTCCTGGAGTGGAATGGGGTTGGACCTATCATGCTTTAGTACTGAGCAGCTCAATAGGAAAATCTTGGAGAGTGGGAGAGACAACTGTGATATGGGATGGGGACGTGTGGTTTCGTGTCATTTTGTGCTTAGAAGAGATTATGAACGGGGTTTAGGGATGTCTTTGGTGGTGTCTCAGGACAGGAGAGTGGTCATGGCACTAGGTCCTCTGTGATTGTTAAAAGTTTGCAGTGTGATTCTCAATATGTATGGCTTGGCCAAATTAAAAAATTGGCTACAAAACCTTAGCTCTTCTTGTGGATGGAGCCAAATGTCATAGTTGTGTAATTCATAATTAAATAAACAGTATAGAGTGCTGAGTGGGTGGTGATGTTGTACAAGGATGAGATAATTAGGTTTTTGGGTTTTTTTTTTCCTCTAAAGTAACCAAAGATAAATTTGATTAGAAGTTGCAGCAGAAAATCATCCTCATTAAGAAAATGCCAGTTATGGTTACAGTGGTGCTGTACTGAAAATGCAGGCCTTTTAGGAGGGGGGAGATTATTAAACTGATTGCCATAGCTTCTCAGAAAAAGAGCTTGTGAGCTTGAAAGCTTATCTGCCTTCGGTAACAATTGTTCTGATAGCAGTTGCCTGTAAACCTAGGTATGATTTGTGTTTTTAATTAATGTTTCAAGGGACTAAATGTCCGAAAGGGATTAGTGAAAGGCTCCAATGGATGGCACTGAGAGAGTGTGATCTCTTTTAGGATGAATTGTTTATCCAAGAGAACAGATGTTCTCATAAGGTTATGTGGGGTTTGGCTTCATTATATGCCCAGTTTAGGACCTACATTTGCTGTGTGCTTTACCTAGGTGGGTAACTGGAGTCCATCAGGAGGGTTGAGGTGGGAGAATAGAGAAGGAAAGACGGTCACACGAATTTAGATAACCTTCACCTGGGTGATTTTGGAGGTGGAAGTTAGCAACTACAGTTGATGAAGACGATTGAGTGAGCCAGGAAAGGACTGTGGCTTGAATAATTCATTGACTCGATATGTCATATCACCAATCTCTGCTGGTGGGTCTCATGAGTGTCATCAGTTAAAGTGGGGCACTGGAGCAACCTGGCCTCACTCAGGTGTGGGTGCTTCATGTACTTGTCTGACCTTAGAGGCTCCTGGAAGAATTCATTTAACACATCCAGACCCTGTGAGAATGAGTCAAGCCCTTATGGCTTAGGTGACAGCCCACTGTATGCAAACCTCGGCAATTAGATCCTATTTGCTGCATGACTTTGAACATACTGTAGTGCAAAACTGGTTATGGCAGGAGAGTGCAATTGGGAAGGATCAGCTTTCTAGGGCTGAATATGTTATCCCTGTGTATAGCACCCAGACTGGAACTACTTGGCATTGTCCCCCAGGATGTGTCACACAATGTATTTCCAGTTATAAATGCAGAAGAGATCAAATAGTTTGGAAAGAATTCACTCCCATGATTATTGCTACTCTGAATTATGAATTACCCAAAAGCCAGAGCTGTTCACAGCCGGAGCATTTGCTCTTCAGACCAGCACTCGAAAGGTTGCTTTTAAGAAATAAGATTTTTAGAGAACAAAAGGGGAAGTGAACACTATGAAAATTTAGTTAAATGTAAATGTGTTAAATGGTACATGAACTAGTCAGGTTTTCATGATTTATCAGGTTTAAACTTCAAAGGCTCTGGTTAGCTTGCATTTTTAAAACTAATGAGTTTATCACAGCCAGTGGGGGAAAATGGTTCAAGTATATCAGCTGTAAATTGGTACAAAGCACTAAAAGGGACATTAGCCTCTAATCAGATTCTAACAGTTCATTAAACCTGCCTTTCCTCTGTGGCGCTTTGTCTTCCCCCCCTCCTTCAGCCTGTGCCTCCTGTGTGAGCTGGCCTTGTCCCTTCGCTCAGGCGGGTAAGACTTCCTCAGGGACATGATGCAATATCAGTTCATTCTTCCTTGTCTATGAGCTAAACAGCCTAAGGGATGCTTCATGATGGTATATTCCTGATCTTGCTGTAAAACTCAACTACAGTTTTTACAAGAAATAGAGGAACTGCTCTACTTGCAGAATAGGCACTGGGGGAGCCAGGAATGCCACGCTTGGTCTTGCCTTCTTCACCCCACAGAGGAGCTCAGTGACACCTGAGACCTACTGCTAATAAGTAAACAGTGCACTGTATTTCCTGGGAAGAAGGATGTAAAGCCAAGAGCAATTTCATCCAGCTTCTTTGTGGCATCCTGATTTTTGTCCACCTCATGCCTCAAACACTGAATAAGGATCAAGTTGCACAAAATTATTTGCTCAAAAGACGTATGAAGAACTTTTTTTATTCTTCCTGTTTTGTCAAGTTTAAAAAGTACAGTAGATACACAGAAGAAGCATAGCATGAACTGGGTCGTCTCAATAGCTTGATTGCCCTTCATTCACATATCTTTGAATGCAGAGGTGTTCTGCTGAAAATTACTTACTTGATCTGAAATTTTATAACTTAGGCATTTAGAGCTTTTTATCAGTTACCTAAATCTACTTTTAAAGGAAAAAAAAATAGAGATTGCATTTGCTTATCTGCCTCATTACTGAGTTCCTGCCTGCCTTTTAGTATCTAACCATGCAGGGTTCAAAGAGAGTGCAACTGGGATTTTAAACAGGTCATTTGCTTCTGCTCATGGCACCATGTTGGAGCATGGGCATATCAGTTTCCCTGATTAAATAACATTTTCAACATGTTATTTAAATTACAATAAATACAAAAATAAACAGCTTCTGCAGTGCTTATATCCCTGAAAATGAAGGTCCTTGGGTGAGGTGTATCAGGAAAAAAGGAAATGTTTAAAGTAATTTAAATTTTAAAAATGTGTTTTGGAAGCTCCATTAGGACAGAGCATTTTCCTTAAAATTCCTCTGCAGAAACCATGATAAGAAACAGGGCTATGAACATAGTCCTTATGAATAATGGCATGACACAGTGCTGAACAGATCTACTGCTCGTGAAACACAGGGAAAAAGTGGGGGTTTTTCTATTACAGTGCAGTTACCAAGGAGTACGAGGTAACAGAGCAGAAGTGAGTTTCCAGTTTAGAGTGCTGACTTCCAAACAGGGCTGCATGAAAATAACTGACTGTGAACGAGTCACTTGTAAGTGTAGTTTCGCTGTTTGAAAAATAGCTGTGTTTCTGTACCACTGACCCAAGGTGTCTGGATTTGTAAGGTTAGATTCTAGCTTGAAGGATAAAATGGCTTTTATTGTGTATGTGTTATCCAAACTAAATGGCAGCTGAAGGTACTTGCTTTCAGACACCATCATTGAGCCCTAACTGGAGTAAAAAATTGACTCAGGTTGAGATGGTGCTTGAACTGAAGGCATGAGAAGTTTTGTAAATCTCCATAAACTGCTTCAGCAACAGCACGATGAGACTTTCACAGAGGGGGTGTTGATTGAGGGAAGCACAGTTCTGCAAATCTTTCTTCAGCTTGAAGCTCTTGGCATATGTTGCCCATTACCACATGGGCAGTGCATATTTTTAACATGTTTTTTTCTCTGTCTTGTGTCAGGGTGAGTGTGTGGAGATTTTCATTGATAAATGCTGATAACTTTAAAACACAATGAATGATAAGAAATATGAGTTGTGTTCATTTATAATGTGTCTGTGTGCAGGCTTTCACTGTAACTTCTCTGAACTCAAACGTATGCTTTCTCCAGGTAATACAAAAGTACAAACGTTTTGATTCAAATCACCTATACCTAAGTATACTCCAAAAACTTCAAATGATTTGACAGCACTGCTCTCTTTTCCAGTTCTAAAACAAGGAACTAATATATGTGCACCTGTATGATTAATTTCAAATTACAAAATAGTAATTGGAGATGATTTTCCCGTATTGTTTACAGAGACGGAGTTCTCTTTTAAGGGTAACTGAAAGTATAATTTACTTTTTTAACTTGGCAGCTCCTCCTTGAAATAACTATTATATCTCCATTAACTTTATTTCCATTCACTAAAAGAAACTTACTTGTATAGTATCATAGAACTTTAAACCAGTGAATTAAAACAAGGTTTTCTTAGTTTTTATTTTTTTTTAATTAACCTTGTCCTTTTTTGTCTTAGGACATCAGCGCCCTTGAGAACAGAATGTTAATGCTTGATGGGATGCCGGCAGTCAGAGTCAAAACAGAGCTGCTGGAATCTGAGCAAGGGGTAAGAAGAGGTTTGTGTAACCTCACTCTGGTGACTCTTCCCCAGCTTCTCTGTGGTTAGCTCCCATTTTCTTTTCTATGTTTTTCTTTATTTTCACTGTTCTGGAGCTTGTTTTCTTGGGAATTGTACTGGTGAGATCTAGAACAAAACTCTGCAGAAGACCTACCAAAATTATGTGGGATAGCTGGGACAGTGGTATAATTTTATAACTATAAAAAGGTGCAGTTAAAAAACCAACCAAACAAAAACAAGGAAAAAAGAATGGCTTGCAGTAAAGAAGCCAAATTCTTATGTCTGGGAAGTCCACATAAGTATATTTGCTATTCTGCCTTCTTGGGATATTTGCTTTTGTTTCAACCTTTGCTTGTCCTACTCTGTTTTCTGTTTGCGCAAACCTGCTCCCTCTGTGGTGAAATATACTTGTTTATCATTAAGGTAGGAGGACTAGAACCTTCAGATGGTTAAAGCTGGTATCATGTCAGCTGCTGAATACGGGGCAGATCATCAATAGGACTTTGAATTTTTTTGCAGAACTTGGCATTGGAGTGATAGGTTTTAGGAAAATGGCAGGGTATTTTCTTGCATATGTGGTAATACTTACATCAGGAATTGTAGATTACTGTGAGGGGGTATGTATTAAATGGATTTTGTTTTATGACAATTTGTTTCCTTGTGTATATCTTGCATTATCCCAGAGAATCCACGCTACATTACTAATCTGAAGACAGGTGCCTTCAACAAGCCGCAATGCTGTTACCATTTAGGGATGGGCTTTTTCCTCCTTCTGTTGTCTTTTCACTTCCTGCTATTTTCTCAGTTATTTAATTGAGAATTAAAAATATATGGAAGAGAGGGAATTAACTTTCAGGATGACTTAATTTGAAACACTTGTAAGGAAATACCAGTGATTCAGGGTGTTTTTGAGGCTATAAGTTTGAGAGAAAAAAAGCTTGATATTTAATTGAGTTTTTGCTCACCTCTGCCTTTTTGAGAGCAAGTACCCTCAGAAAATATTCCAATACAGTGTAGTTTGAGGGAATATAAAAATTTAACTGTTGTATGAGCCACAATGATGTAAAGACAGATCCATTAGAGGTAATTTTTATTATCTTCTGGATGCTTTGCATCATGTCTTTGTATGTAACAGAAACGTTTCTCTGTAGTGTTCATAAGACAAAAGTTTCACTGGTATTTGCCTTTGTTTAGTTTAAAATTAAATTCTGTGGATGATACATATTGCTTCGTCCTTTATGAAGAATACTTCCTTTAGCAAAGTGTTATTTGATTCTGGAAGACCTTATTTGGTGTCTTAGGAACTGGGGAAGGAAATAAATGACCTATATAGTTTTTTAATTTCCTTAGAGTTCTTTAATAAAATTTTATGGACTTCTGTATTAGCAGAAAATGATGTCACTTTTTTCCAGTGACTGAGCTGTTGGACAAAGAGCTTGGTTTGATTTGGGATTTTATGCACTTTGGTACTAATTAAGTAGTGTCTGGTCAAGAGTCTCTGGCACCTTTATGACTCTTCATTAGGGAACAATCAATAAATACAAAATGAATTCTCCAGTTCACTAACAGAGGAGCTGGCCATTAGGATGGCAGTTTTCCAGCAAACAGCTTAAACTCTGAAGAGAGCTGGTTGAAACAGATGTTTAGCATGTGCTTTAGAGACTGTTTTGAATATGTAGATGTTGGTATACATAACAGGGACAAGTGTTTGAAGGATGTGATTACCAAAAACAGCACGTGGAGCTGTTTGGAAGATGAATATCATAACTGGGAAGCACCGAGTGAGAACTAAAGTGTGATCCCAGTAGTATGAATTGGAAATTGTGGTGTCTGCGTGCATTGTTTATAGTGCCCGAAGTCCCGAGAGTTGTACCTCCATTGCAGCATATGTGCGTACTGGGAGGTGTGATTGCTACTTTGAAAATTTGCAAACTAAGATAACATTTTGAGTGTTCAGAAAGCCAAAGCTTCATCACTGAACACCAGACAAACTTTTGCAAAACCCCATAGAAAGACATCTGGGTTTTTTGCTGTTCTTACTTGGTATCTACTCTTGGCTCTAGGTTTGCTGCAAGGGCAAAAGTGAGGCATGGTTTAAGGGTTATGAAAAAAAAAAAGTTTCATGTGTGGCTGGGGGATCATGAAGGCTCTGTCAGTTGTGGAGTGGAAGAAATAGGGTCTGAAACACCAGTGGCCCTTGACCAGGATGGTAAGTGCTGAGCTGTCAGAATCAGAGAGTGCTGAGTTGTCATGCTATGCTAATGAAGCTTTGTGATGCTATTATCTTAGAAGGGCTATGGGACTGCTTTGAATTGCTTCCTGTTTAAATCTGGGCCCATATTTCAAACAAACATCATCTTGATTTAAAAATGGATCATGATGAAGGACCTTCACAGCTATGCTAGTAATTACCTGTGCTTCTGAAAGCACACACCTCGTTTTTAATCTGGCTTTATCCAACATCAGCTTCCAGCGCTTTTCCAGTGGCAACAGAAAAACTCCATTGTGGTGCTGTGTGAGGGTTTCGCTTAGCCCTTTGGGGACCAGACTGTACAATATATGATGAAGAGAGTGGGGTTGCTCCTCAGGTTGCTCTTTCACTGTGGGAGACTGTCACATGTGATAGCTAAGTAGCCTGGTCTTGATGAGTCTTCTGTGTTAATGGTGATGAGCATTAAAAAGGCAATTACCACAAAACTTTCTTGAAACTGAGATTAAATCGATTGTGGATTCCAAGGATATGTGCTTGTTCCTTGTAGGTATATTGAATGCTTCCCTGCAAAACACGTGAATATGTCAGTCAGAAAAGATGTTTCCTCTGTAGTTGTGCCTTGGTTACCTGTTCCTTGTGGTTCATGAGCTCCAGGGTGGGATTCACAGAAAGGACCTTACTGGGGGAATTTTGATATTGTTTGGCCATGCGTGCATGCAGAACGGCATGGGACACCGAGCTGGTGCATCCTACAGTCCCGGCTCTTGCAGCCTTGGCAGTAGTGAGGTTGTAGCTCAAGTATTGTGTCCGATTCTGGGCTCCTCACTTCAAGAAAGACATGGAGGTTGAGTTACTGGAGTGTATCTGAAGAAGGGCAATGGAGCTGGGGAAGGGTCTAGAGAGTAAATCATATGAAGAACAGCTGAGGGAGCTGTGGTTGTCTAGCCTGGAGAAAAAGAGGCTTGTGGGAGACCTTATATCTCTCTACAAATACCTGAATGGAGGTTGTAGCCAGGTAGGGGTTGGTCTCTTCTCCCAGGTGACTAGTGACAGGACAAGAGGAAATGGCCTCAAGCTGTGTCAGAGGAGGTCCAGATTGGACATCAGGAAGAATTTCTTCACCAGAAGGGTTGTCAAGCACTGGAATGGACTGCCTAGGGAAGTGGCAGAGTCACCGCCCCTGAAAGGGTTCAAGAAATGACTGGATCTGGTATACCTGGTTCTGTGGTCTAGTTGACAAGGTGGTGATCTGTCAAAGGTTGGGCTGGAGGATCTTGGAGGTCTTTTCCAATCTAAATGATTCTATGATTCTTTGATGGGAGAGCAGCCAGCAGAGGAGGGTCTAATCACACTGTGGGCAGTGACTGCATGGAGGCAAGCCTGAGTGCCTGGAGGGATATCAGGCTGGTGCGGGATTGAATCTCACTCGAGTGCCAGTGCGTCCCATCGCCTTCATGTTCCTGGGGTGTCTTGTGCATTACTGCTGTTGGTGAGGCAGAGGTCTGAAGATTTTCTCTGAAGACACATGATGCCAGCACTGGATTACTGAAAAAGAGTGGGAGTCTGTGATTCTGAGTTTGGGTTCAAGACCACAAGGAGATGAGCAATGCCCTACATTTCTGCTTCAAGTGGTAGTTGACATAATGATGTTACGTGTACCATGCTGGCTTGGTGAATTACTTCAGCATATGGCATGATCACAGGGTCTAAGTCCATTGTTACTTTAAGGTTTCAGTTTACTTAACAGATTTATTTGATAAATTAATGAGTTTAATTATGAAATGATGTGTTTATCCTAGAACTTTATTAAAAGCCTTTTTTTGCAATTAATGTGGCTCCTCATAGTTTGTGAACAAGTAATCCATCAATCTATTGACTCGATTAGTAGAAATACCCCTGCTTAGCAATCTTGGTGAAGTGAACAATGAGCACTGCAAAAGCTGGACAACATAGAAATAAAAGAATCTTGAAAGGAAAGAACATTAATTTTCCTTTTACACCTACTCCACTAAAATGGAATTGCAGTAGGAGGAAAAAAACTACCAGGTTTTAACCTTAAGTTAATTTTTCACTTACCTTTTGTGGCATACAGCTGTGGTGAAATATGCACTGTCTGCCTGTGTGTGTTTCATCAACCAGAAATTCATCTTCCCTGGGATGCTCTGGGTGACTTGATCTTCACCACCTATTGTCTCTTGACTACATGTGGTGATGGTAGAAGATCACCCATGATGTAGATGAGAACCAGGACAGAGCAAATCGTTCCGCAGAGACTAGCATTTTCTGCTTTATTGGATACCAAGCCAGGCAATCAGTCCATTATATTTCTGGTTTTCCTGTTTGAGTCTTCAGTCTTTTTTACAAGAGGAGTTAAGTAGAATGTGAGGTTCTTCCCTACAATTTGTGCATTATGCATGACCTATGGGATGTTTAACTTTCTTATTAGGAGACACTTAGTTTTGTTTCACAGTTTGTGTTTGGGTGCTCTGTGCCCAAACCTGGGTTGATACCCCTAAAAAGTTTCTACTGCACAAGTGTTACATATCTAGACCAAGTGAAGGTGGATTGAAAATGCAGTACAGCAGAAGGATTAAAAGGAAAAAAAAATGTAGTCCAGCTGAGGTTTTATGGTATCCTGGGGAGAATGAAACTGCAAGCTACTGCAAAGCAGCCCAGTCTCTAGCTGAGGCTGAAAAGAAATTGGAGCTGACATTTCAGCTCTCCCCCGTACACCAGATCTTTGGAGCCTGTGACTAGAGAACAGGTGGGCAGGACT